TTCTGTTAGCATTTTCACAAAGTAAAATATATTTTGAATTAATTGCAATCCTTGCCAATGACGCATTGATGATCTTAGATGCTAATAATAATTACTTTATGACACCTACAATAAAATTTCTTAAATTATTGAAATATTTGAAAAAAATACTTAAGAGGTAAATATTGTTTTCCCGTTCTTAATTTACATATGAATTTCGACCAAAATAAAAAGTTTCTATCGCAGTATAAGCTGGATGTCTGTATATAATTTTTGTCAAAACATTGGCTATTTTGAAACTAAGAAAAAAAAATCTTACATCAAATAGCAAACATCAAATAACTTACATCAAACAAATAGCTTACATCAAATAGCATAACTCAGCTCAATAGTGTAACTCAGCATTTCTCAAACTGCGCTGCGCGTCCCCCGTGGGGGTGTGCTAACTCTACGAGAGGGGCGTGAGCGTATTGAAAAGTTGAAAACAAAAGATTATTTAAAAAAATTAATTTACTGTAAGTAAACAAAGTACTTTCTTATACAATAAAATATAAAATACACATTTACACTGATATAATACACTTATAAATGTATCAGTACTGTAGAATGTATTTTATTATTAATTTAAAAATAATAAGTTAAGAACAAATTTGATAATTATCAGTGACCCCCATGGTTTGTATTAACACTTATCTTGATAATTTGTTCGGTTTGTAATTAATTCCTTAACTGCAGAATAAAAGTTACGCGATTCGCTCCTCAATGCCACCGTTTTCCATGTAGATGAATGTATTTTGATGTTTTTTTAGGAGGAGGGGGAGGAGAAAAGGAATAAATAATGAAATCTTTGAAATAAGTAAATCCTCCGCAAACACTGTCAAGGTCCTTTATTGCATTCCGAAGCCTTCGGAATAATTTTATGGATAGCACTGCACAGAAAAGATGGTACTTCGGAAAAACGTATATATACGTCCAGAAAATTTATATTTTGATAGATAGAGACATTTACATATTTCGGTGGCAGATAAGAGGTTAAAGTCGTATTGCAGCTTTAGCGTTAAAGTATAGTATTATTGAATTTAATACATTGTTATTTTTTGGAGGGCGGCGCAATGAAAATGAGGATTGAATAGTGGGTCACGTATATTGAAAATTTGAGAAGCACTGGTGTAACTGAAAAACTGGCTTAAGTAAATATTTTTGAAAGGACATGGCCAATGAATGTTATTTCAACATACACACACACAATAGCTCATATACCACGATTATGAACTTTTCAAATTATCATGTATGGAACAACTTACATGTTTGCTTTTATGATTCATATATTTTTAACATAAATATTTAGGAATTAAACAATATTGCAAATAGCTCAAAATGCAATTGCCTCTGGTCACAACAGTAGGATTCTTAATGGGAAATCTGGAAAGAGAAATCAGAGGTCTGGTAGTTTCTCGCTAATTTAGTGGCCACCTTTACATCAAATGAAGACTAGTGATTGAATAGTGTTTCTAAGCATACACATTAGTGGGATACGATGAAAGGGCAAGACGCTGAGGTACTCAGAAGCATCCTAAATTACTAGGATGCAATTTCCTGTGCCATTAAGCTAGTAGTCAGCTGGGGAGTGGTGACATGACACTAGGCTATCTACGCATATTCTACGTGTGGTCTTTGCTTAGATAAACGAGGAGGAAGGGGACTTAAAACGGCAGGTTGTACTGCAAATGGATTAAATGCAAATCCCATATAATTTTAATGTACGGTGCCTTGGAGTTCAGTTCTCAGTGTAGAACATTAAATATTTCAAAGCGAACTCAATTAGTATAATGCGTTATTCGTGATTATGCAAATTGAAGCGATGGTTAGGCAGCGATACCTAATTATCACATTTGTTGGGGACTGTAATATTAATAAGCCTCACTGTATCTCTCGCATACAATTTTCTATACAGATATTCACGAACAAAAATGTATTCTTCCACGCAAGCAAATAAGAATACTCAGTGTATATATTTCACATTTTTCAAAGAATGCGAATATATGCCAATATTAATTGGTTTTTAAATACAGGCACGAGTAATTTAATATTAAATACATTAAGAAATTTATCTCAGCATATAAAATTTTAAATGAGTTTCTAGCAAGAAACTCACCGTATTTTTAAAGCGAAGTTGAGGTTTCATTATTATTAGCCTTATTTAAATTTGTGACAAATATATACGGAACTTTATCACTAACCTTCTGAGTCGTCTTTTTTAGGGAAATTTAATTCCCTACCTATTTCCAATCAGCTCCAAAAAGAGGATAAAATTCCTTGTTATGCAGATTAGATAAGGTATTTAAGTCAAACGGAATAGTAAAGTTATAACAGTAGGAGAGAGAGATTGAAGCAGAAAGTTATAATAGTGAAGTTAGATTTATAATTGAAGATTTCTTGGTGGATAATTTAATCTCAGGAAGAGTTGAGATTCAGCGTGGTAAATATTGATTTATAATTAAAGTCTCATTAAAGCTTTATATTAGGAGTGAGATTAAAGTTAAATGTTCAAAGGGAACATTATAGAATATAATTCTGGGATCTCTTATCGCGGTAATCTCTGCGTGATCGATATTCTAATTGTTAATTAATTGGATCATTAAATATTTAAGTTAATTTATAGGAAAGTCCCTTTTTTATACCTCATATAACTATTTCTTGATTTATTTGTTATTAAAAGTCTTTGATTCTATTTGGGAAAGATTACCAAATAAAGAAAGTTATTTATAAAAATGGCTACTGGTTCTTATATGACTCCAACTTATTCTCGTTCTCAAAGTGAGGTCCAAAGGGACCTTCACAAATTATTATAATTTGTTTTATTGCCGTCAATACAATTAATGTACAACAGGGTGGATCAAATTTTTTTTAAAAAAGTTTTAAAACCTATCTATGCGGGAAAAAATGTTTTCTGGTATATAAAAAGAAAAGAAAAATAAAATGAAAAAATAATTTTTATGTTAAATACTGCCACAAGGGAAATGAAGTTAAAATATTTGAACTTTTTTATCGTAAAATGTCAAAGTAGTTTGTATCAAAGAAAAACAGGTATTTTATTACTTTTTAACATTTACAGCGATGAGAGGTACCTACTAAATAGTTACAAAAAATCATCAGGTACGTTTAACGCATCTTCTTAAGTATTTATTTTTTTTAAAAAAAACCTACTGACGAAATTACAGTGTACGACGGGAAAAGGCTTGATTTGGACCATTACGACTGTTCGGGAAGAAATAGCTGTGTGTTTGAAACATTGTAATGCACGTTGTACTATTCATCATTCAGTATTCGGAATAAACATTGCTTTTAGTAATTTATATTGTAGGAAAAATAATTTTATTTGTGGAGTCTAAAATCAGCTACCTAAAGCTCTTTTTTCCATTTTTTTGTTCAAATATTCAAAGTCTTTATGGGAACATTAAATTTAAAAATTATTTATTTAATTATTTTTCTCCTAATTTTTATACCATAGAACAATCTTTTCCGTATAGGTAGTTTCTGATTGATAGTATTTTTTTTTCTCCATGGAACCGCAATCCATTCTAATGTGCATGTTAATGGAAACGATTCAGCACTTATTATTTTTATTTCGAATTGCAGATAAAGTAGCTTGAATTATTTATAGTTTAGTTAGTATATAAGTATATTTAAAGTACAAAATAAAACGTAGTAAATATATTGCAACAAGTACTCATTGTTATAATTTAACTTAATTTCTACTTTCACTGAGCCAAAAATAATTAAGGCTGCATTTTGTATTGTTTTATCTAAAATACAATTTAAAACGAAACTAGTACTAAATCAGATTTTGAAAAATGGATGATTGATCTTTTTCGATCAGATGCTTCGGAATCTATCCTATTTGTGAAGTCAAAAAATTTTATCTGGAAAGCTTTTATCACTGAAACCCACACAGGCGTGAAATAGAAAATCCTGTTCATGGGTAAGGAAATTATTCCCTGTGATTAGCGTGATTAAAATCCTAGCTCCTGTAATCTTTCCATGCTCTTTCATAGTCACTAGAGCTCCTTTTTGAAACTCACTCTAGCGTGAAGCATCTGGGATTGCCAATTTTATCATCATGCTTCCAGGCGGATCTGGGAGTCTCTTTGGGAGGAATAGAAGTTTCATTATCTTAACTTGAAATTCTGTGGGAATGTAGTATTCACTATCCAGGAAAAGGAGCTTCCCCTATGTCTGGTGAATGCAGACAGTCGAATAATTTCTCTATTTCACTGACTTACAATTACTACTTCTATTTCCTATGTTTAATCTATGCTTAAAAAACGTTTAAGATTTTTCTACATAGATAATTTATATAGCCTTTATTTAATGAATATATATATATATATATTTGCATATATATATATATATATATATATATATATATATATATATATATATATATAATGTTATATTATCTCATTTAAATGATTAAATGTTTTCTTAGAAAATAATTGTAATAGTTGAGACATGGGATTCATTCTGAAAAAAAAAAAAAAATTCATAAAAATATATCGAATATTGAGTGATTGTCTATTCATTTACTTCGCAAAACGAACAAAACTTAATTTATTATCACAAGAAAAAAATGCCAATTTTAAAGAGTTAGGGTACTTAAGAAAAGCAGACTAATAATCATGTTTCAATTCCTACTATTAATTAACACTATCTTTTATATATATATATATATATATATATTTTATTTATATATATATATATATATATATATATATATATATATATATATATATATATATATATATATATATATATATATCTTGCTCAAATGTTCAATCGTTAATAAAAAATTACTTTTTATTCATGCACTCAAGTTGAAATACATTTTTTAAACTTGTTCTGGATGACACGAAATTCTAATATACAGTTTTTTTTCAAATATTACTTCATTAATTAATGGATAATTAGTAACAAAAATAATAGACCAACACCATATATTAGAAATGAAAACCCCTCGTTGTGTCTTTGTAGTACAATGGGTAGTGCGTTGGACTTCTAATCCAAAAGTCCTGGGCTCGAATCCCACCTGGGATGGCCTAATTTGTGAGAATGTGATTTCTTTCTACCATACGATTTTTATTGGAATAATTAAATTTATTTAATGAATAAATAATAACAAACAAAAATAATAGTCCATCACCACTTATAGAAAGGAAAATCGCAAAGGAAATTGCTTTTTATTTGAAACTTAATATTGTGATTCTGTGATATGTATATACATATTTATATTAATTGCAATTATTTAATAAAAGTAACTAAAATAAAATTTCCCTTGGGTGACCTAAGTAGGACTTGACCTTATTTTTTTTTCTGTATTACTTGTTTTACATTAATATCTGAGATATTTACCGTTAATTCAGTTTGCAGCAAATAAAACTGGAGAAAAATATATGTCATTGGAGAAGATAACATTTATAAAAAATATTTGTTAACAATTAAAGGCTGACATTATTTCGTAACCATAGCTAATGCTACAGTTGTACGTTAATCAATGAAAACGTTTCAATGTGGAACTCTTGACTAACAAAAGAAGTTAGAATAATCTTCCTTTTGCGTAAATCACCACATCATATTGCGATTAATTGTTGAATATGCTTTAGCATAATGCAATACTACTTAGTTTGCGGTGTAAGAAATTATGATACGAAACACCGCTGAAGTATACTATCAGTGGAGGATCGTTATCATTACTGGAATTGATTATCTAGCAATATGTAAGTGAGGTACTGAGGTTTATGATGGTTTATGTTCCCAAAGGCAATTATTCGGTGATTTTTTAACAAGACTAAAAATACAACTCTTATTTTTTAAAAATTATGTAATATGTGAAATGCCACTATAGTATTATATTGGGGTTAATTTTATCAAATTATTTCTCGTATGAAACTGTCTCTAACGGTGTGTATACCAATTATCTTTTCTAGAATAGATTACGTTTATTCCAGAATAAATATACGATTGCTTGTTTGAGCAAATTAAATCACATAATATTTGATACCTCAACATATTAGAAAGGTTTAGTGTAGATCTTCAATGCTAAAGTTCAAACATCCAATAATGAAATAGTATTTAAGAAAAACAAAAATTTTCCAAACTTTTAACATAATATTATATAAAATATTATTTTATAATATTATATTATATAATAACATAATTTTATATAAGTTTTGAATTTAATTTTTCGGAAAAGCTTTACAATCGCCTTGCATTTTGATTGTTAGGTATGTCCAAAGTTGTTTATACCATATCTTGAATTAATTGTAAATAAGTGTAAAAAATAAAAAAAATAATAATAAATAAAAAGTACAAAAAGTATCCGGACTCTAAATTTTTTCTTTCGACATGAAAAGATTAATATAAAACAGTAAATTACTTTATAAAAGGACAAAAACAGATGATTTAAAAACGCTTAAATTCAAATCGTATTTCCTACCGGAAAAAAATAGGAGTAACATAATTATTATTCAGTGAACATCAGGACCTGTGTATTTGCAGCAAAATGATAAATACCCCAAAATAAATTACTAAATATTTTGAACGCAAAATTAATTGTTCTCAAAATAGCGACTATATCTCCAGGAAAGTTATGGCATGTATTTGGTTTTCTTATTATTAATATCAGATAATTTTTAATGTTAATAATTCATTATTAAATTGAGACTAGAGAAATTTATTTGGGCAAGTAAGACTCACAGTCAACTGTTAAGTAAACCATTCATAAAAATGTTTAATTTTTACAAAACCCTTATGCATTTTAACGCCAACGCAACTAATATTTAAACATATACGTTCACTTACCAATTTGACAAGATGATGATCAGGACAAAGTCTTCCCGATCTATACAACTATTTAGCTGATTGAAAGTATCAGATTAGCTACCAGTGTGGCTGTATAGCTTTCAATGTTGAAAAATCCTTGAATAAAATTCAAAGTTATCCACAGCATTTGATGTCGATTTATTCCCATTTCGATTATTGTGACCACTATCAGACTCTTTTCCTTTTCTAAGCTGAATTTATTTATCCTCACTGCTACACATGTTGAATATGCTTTCATCCACAAAAATGACAAACTTCAATACCTGAGAGCTTCTTATCGTGTCCTTTACTACAATCTAAAGGGAACTATCTCATGTTGAGCAAAACATTTTTTAGAAGGTATAAAAATACATTTTCGAGCAAGCCTTATAGAAATGTTACCTACTTAGCTACTTTTATTTCAGGTATCTTCCAGCTCCTATTTCATAGTTGAGGCGTAGTTAACTTTCTACTTCTCAGATATATATGTTTTAATCTACAGTCCTATCTTGTCACAGATAATATTTATAGATAATAATTCATTCGCTAACTTTCCCACTTTGGAAATAAACTTTGCATTCCTCAATTAAGAAAACAATCTATTCGCTGTAAATATACTGCGTGTCCATTTCATATATATCGCTAAAAATTTCCACGTAGTATTGCAAAATGAAGGCATATACAGTACAATTGTGAAGGGGCTTAACGGTGTTTTTCTACTAATCCTCGTGGGGAATCTTTGGGGCCATCAATTGAATTATTTCGCAGCCATCCCTCTCAAGAAGAAACCTTGATATACAGATTAGTAAGTAGATATATAGTGGAGGTTTAGTGATCGAGGAAGAAAAAGGAGGAAAGGAAGTTGAGTTTCTGAAAGCAGTGCGGTTACGGTAAGGATCTGAACTTAGACGCGTAATTATACAACGGGCTTTAGCTATTCAAATAAATTAAGGGAGTAATGATTCATAAGATAACTTTAAGTAAAAATTAGCGGTTAGGATTTCCTGCGTTTATTCACATAAGATTTTGAGCTACGATATATCCCTCATGATTTTCCCTCTAAATTAAGATTGTCTTTGCTTATTATACTGGATAATAATAAATTGGATTTCTTATGGCTAGCTTGGGTCATAAATCTCTACCCCCTACAAATTTAGGTCAAGCAGATGAAGAGATAGCTTCCCCAGGGTGGAGATTATCACACAATGGTAAAAAATATCAAATAATTAATATTGCGGGTAATAGTGATGTTCAATATGCAGGGAGAAATTTTTCATTTCAGTAAAATAAAATATATCTCTGTAACTTGTATTGCTATCTTCAAAACAAATGGATTTTTAAATTTATATACTTTTTTAATGATAAATATAAACTCGTTCATTACACATTTGTTATTTGGAATAATTTTTTTTTTCCTAAATTAATATTTTTTATTTATTATTAAAAAGAAACATAAGTGTGTTTATGGAAAAAAAAGCAAGATTATACTTTAAAATTACAAGGTACTAAATTATTTTATTAATGTTATTATAAAAATAACAAAGAAAATTAAAACATAAAAGCTTATTTGAGATATATACCAATGATAACATCTTAAAATGCAAGAATGGCCCTTAAAATGATTCTGGCGAATTAATTTTAATATATACCTTGTCAAAAATTCTCTCTAACACCTGAACAATTATTCTTCAACAATTCTTCATTGTTTAAAATACATGTCTTCATTTGAAATTTTGCTTGATTATCTGGAAATGTGAATGGTTTGAAATAGAAATAAGTAAAACATTTCATTAAAATATTAATTAAGCAATACTTTATTTCTGATTGAAGTTTTATATACATGGTGGGAACATTTTTTTCTCATTTTACCGTGAGATAAGCCTAATAGTAAAAAGAAATGAAAATAAGCAATATTACATATGATACTTATTTATTCACTTAAAATTGTATTTTGTTAATATAATTTATCAAATTCCTCTAATCGCTTTGATCTGTTACACAAAACTGAAATTTTTGGTGCATACTTATTCAACTGTTCCAAAATTTTAAAGTTCAAATACATTTTTACGTAGGTTACAACTAGAATTTACTAAATATCTCGACTTTGGTACCCAGTCACTATATTTTAAGGAAAAATACTATACTGAAAAATTAAAATTTTAATTACGTATTTTGGCTGCAATTATATTTGTAAAAAAAAAATTCATATGCATTGAAATACAATACCATTCATCAAAACCGAGTGTAATAAAGTTCCAATATTGAGAGAGCAATGTTAGTTTTTCTTGTATATATATATATATATATTAAATTAACGACTATAAGAGTATTATTGACATATATATATATGTAATAAAACTACATAGAAGAAGGAAGGTTTATATAGATTTAATCTTATAAATAAATACGGATAGAAATATGGTTCAAAAAAGGTTTTTGAAAGGTATTAACTAAAGTGGATTTATTTTTAACACCTAAGTTAATCTAAAAATGTCAATACAATGATACAAATATGTCAAAATAATAAAACTTATTAAAATCGTGTGAGAACTGAGCAAAGTCGGCGTTTTAAAACGTTATGTAAAATAAATAAATGTAGTTTAAAATAATTTAAATGTTTAATTTTCTCTGTGTGGTTACTTTTTCAAATCTGGGCAGAAGGAATAGCATTTATAAAGAAAAGAGGGTTGGAACATAAAAAAATCTAGCATTAACATTTAAGGCATTTATATTTTTTTTTAGTTTTATGTAATATGAACTTATGCGTATGAAACTTCTTTGAAAGAAAATTTTGCATGTGACAATCCCGTAAATAATTAAAGAAAAGTATTTCAGTAAGTTTTAAAAAGGGAATGAGGAAGAAATATTTCTATGTGATTTATTGAGCTATATTTTATTTCAAAAGTTGAATTAAACTTCCCATGACAGATACTAATTGCTTCCACTTACTATTATTAAACGGAAACACATTATGATTATTAAGAATTGTGATTCATTTTATAGTAAAAATAGTTTTGAGAATAGTTATTTTTATAAAGAGAATATAGAAATGAAAATATTTATTCCGAACAGAATCAAGAAAATTTTACTTATATATCGCTTCAAAAACTTTTAAATTTTAATGTTTAGTTTCAGATTACATGAACATTCTCAAAAAAAAAGAAATAAACTTCCTTGAGGTAAGTACTACTTATCTCAAAAACTGTTTAGAAGGAATTAAATAGGCCTATTCTTGT